TCTAGGCTATGTCTTCAGGCATGCATTTTATCACATTCTAATATTGTAACTTTTCTGAGAGTAATATTGGTTGGATCTTCAGTGATAAGTAATTCGCCTATGTTATTTAACCAGAATTCTTATTTTTGTGCTATCTGTCAATTCCTAAACTTATTTATGGCTCTGGTTAAGCAAATAATTTTCCTCACCAATAATTTCTCACTAGTCTCACCCACTGGAAGCATTATCTTTAGAACTTGTATGGTGCTACCTCCATGAATGGTCTGATGATTCCGTTATCCCCTTAACAGAGGCTACCTCAGCCCTATCATGTTGTGCTTCTGAGGATTGAATCACCTGTAAAAGAGCATTTCAAATTTGTCACCGTTGTCTGTATATTTGTTTTCTTCCCTTCTTTTTGTTGGACATGACAGATAGAATACCAGCTGCTAATAGTGCAATCTTTACATGCAGACTATTTGTTCCTTCTTCTGGGATCTAAAATATGCATGAAGATTAACCATGAACATTAATACTCATACTAGTTATTATTTCTGTTCTGTTTTCTTGAATTTTTTATTTGTTGGGTCTTTGGATGTGTTTGAGAAACAATGTGGCTAAGATTGAATTACATGTTTCTTATGGCCGGTCATCAACTTAAGGTTTGATGTTCATCATGTGAGAAACGGCAGCATTTACGCAACGAGAGGTTTCTGATTTACCTTGTTGACCATGATGTTGCATAACACTGTTTATGTTGCATGCTAATTATTAGGTTCTTTGGTGCCCTTGTCCAGGCCTTTTATGTTGCTGGAATTGTGGTTGGTTTAAAACCTATGATAGGTCTCTGGAATCTAATAAACGCCTCTTTCTTAATAACTAATGCCACTCAGATTCGCGCAGTGTAGAGTTGTGATTATCTGTTGACTTTTGTAACCTTATAAGGTTGGTAGTTTGAATAGTGTGTACTTTTGGAAAGATTTTCAGAGCGACCTAGGAAAGGAAAATTGCTTGGTGGTTGTACTGAAAGGTTGCAGATAGAGGGGGGATGCTTCTTTCTTCATAGTATGTTTTTGGGATCTTATGTGTTATTCTTAAATTATCTGATTCACTTGCATACTATTTTTAAGGAATAGAGTTCAGCAAACAACTGGGTCGTCAAATAGTACTCAAAGGCGTGTGGGGAATGTTTTACCTCCACCAGGTGATGAATACTGTAATATTAGCTCGACGTCAGTGAAGCCTATACCTAAAGCTGCTATAAACACAAATGTACGGTTTGCCCCTATCACTTTTGATACCGCATATTCATTTTTTCCAATTATTGTTGCTCTTTTTAAGTGATATCTATTTATGATATTCTAACCATATATAGTGCTTTTGATGCATTTCTATTGTGTGAAGGCTGCTCTGATAGTTTGAATATTTTTTGACTTTTCAGCTGATTTAGTGAATGATTTCTGTGGTAGCACTGAATTGCTATACTCCTGTATTTTGTTTGTTTCCATAGAAATTCTAATTAATGAGAGTTTGTTGGGAAACACCTTATTCATTTTTATTTTTTTATTTTTTTATTTATTTTTTTTTTTCTCTATTCATTTAGCAGAATGTAGCATGCAGTGCTAGAGTTTCGCCACCAAATAGTAGCTCGGGAAGATCTGCTGCTCTTCCAGCTGGGGCATCATGGTACACCATCCTCTTATCATAGTTTATTTATTCCTAATATTGTGTTTCTACTTCTCCTTAGTTTCATACTATCTGGATCAGGGGCACTCGTCCAGCCAATAATAGTCAGCCTTCGCCAACAAGTACGCCATACTTCAATGTGCAACCTAATCCAAAACCTGACATTTCTAACAGTCCAGTGGCAATTTCTAAGAAATCGTCAAGCGCGAGTCAAATATCTACATTGCAGAGTGATACTGGGAAGAAGAAGGTTCAAAATCAAGAAAACAGCATACTTCGAGAAAAAACTAAGAAGGAAACTTCTGGTTCGAAAGAAAGGGAGTCCAATGCAGAATGTAGAATACCTATATCCGATGGTTTAGAAACATCTGTACATCTTATGAATTTGCCATCAAATAGACAGCCTCGCAGTCCGCCACAAACCAGCCTGCCACCAAATTCTTCTAATTTAGTTGAATCTTCTGTTTTGTCATCTGGGTCTATGCCAGACAACAAATCCGTTGATCACGTAGATGGAAACCTTGAGAATGTTTGCTCTACTATTTTATCAATGAGCATTCATGAAAATAAAGAGGTCCAGAATGGCTATGTTGAGCACAATAGAGGGCCACTGTTCCGTCAAATATCTGCAAAAGCTGTAGATGCCATTGATGATAGATGCGGTGCAAATGTCCAGTCAGATTTTGGACCTGGAATGCAGAGTAAAGTAACACAACTAAAATGGCACGGCAGGGAAGATGACGTGTTATCTTTTGATAACCAAAGGATTAACGATCCTGAGGTTGCTACTGGTGGAGTGCAAGAGTGTCCCGATGTATTGAATTTATCAAAGCATTCTAATACTCATTCTGACGAGTTTAGTAATGTTGGCTGGTCAGTTGGTAGTGGTTTCAACAGGCAGGTTGTGGATAGAAATGGGAATTTGGTGGTTCCAACTCTTAATTTTCCAAGTGCGCGCTCTGAGAATTTAATGAACAGTTTTGAGGGCAATGATGCTGGAAATTTTAATTTGTTTCCAACTGAGGAGAGAAGGCCTCTGCTTGGGAGATATGAAGGTGAAGCATCTAATTCTGGTGCTGACATGGGGGAAAGCAGCATAATATCAAATATTTTGTCAATGGACTTTGACCCATGGAATGAGTCGTTAACTTCACCTCAGAACCTGGCCAAGTTGTTGGGCGAAACTGATAAACGAGAAGGGTCCTTTGGAGTATCTGGTCCTTGGAAAATTCATAATAGCAATCAATCAAGGTTTTCATTTGCTAGAGAAGGGGAAACCCCCAACCATGTCTCTGGTTCTGAACAATCTATTGATTACATTGAACAAAACTTTAGGCAGCATCCATTTGGCCATGATATCTCCAGCAGCAACAGCTTGTACCTTTCTGCAAGTCGCAATGGTTTACCTGTTTTCGGTGGTACAGAACCAGATAATTTTGTCAGCAGTAATTCTCATATCTCTTCTAACAAGCTATCCGGTTAGTTAACCTTTCCCCTTCAATATATTGTGCTATATTTTTTAAATTCATCCTCTTTATACAAGTGTACTCAGTGGAACTTAGTCGTGTATCTATTGAAAATGTAAAAGGGTAATAAGTAACATAGCGGTTTTGTTTCTCTATAGAGGTCCTCAAATTTTTTAGCATGTTTAAGTTGCTATCTCGATTACATTGTTTTTATTCATTTTTGGCAACCAAAATATTTGATTCTTTCCAAAGTTGTCTATATAGTTTATTCTGATCCAGTTTTCGGGGATGGGAGATATAGGGCGAATAAGCATATGAAGTTCTGGAATAAGCATCCTTGTTTTCTTTATGTATATTATTCGAGTTGGTTAGCTGGGATGTGGTCCAGTATGATGTGTGACACGACTATCAGACTATTTTTGTCTGGATCCGTTTGTCAAATGATTGTTAACATACATAAAAGACTAGGAACTTACTGTGCTTGCTTCCATTCATATCTTCTTCTGTGTGGAATTTACTTGTTTCATAGTTTTGTTATCTTCCTTATGATATATTTTCTGATTTTTTTACAGCTTCAAGGTCTCATATATCCGCCCCACCAGGATTCTCTGTGCCTGGTAGAGCAGCGCCACCTCCAGGCTTTACTTTTCGTGGAAGAACAGAACCGATTTTTGAGCCTCTTTCTGGTGAGATTGTTTGCCCCAGAAAATTTAAGCTTCCTTTTATATTCAATATTTGATTGTTCCATTTTTCCTCTTTCAAAGTATAATTTCATTTATTCTAAACTTGCAGGAAATCATATGCATGGTGCTTCCTCCTCTTTACGAAGAAACCAGTATCAGACACCCCCTAATAGTAATGCTTTTAGCAATGGTGATATAGAGTTCATGGATCCTGCAATTTTGGCTGTTGGCAAAGGGACACTTCCAGGTGGCATCAACAAAGAGATGATGTCTAATTTTCCTCCGCAATTAAATACATATGAAGATGTTAGATTCCAGTCTCTTTTACAGAGATCTCTCCCACATCAGAATCAAAGACTTACTAATGAGTTGGGGGAGAGTTTTTCTACCCTTGTCGATGCTTATGGACTTCCTTCTAGGATAGCGGATCAAACTCTATCAAGTAATCTGCCCACATTTTCTCAGTTTAACCTGCCTCATCCTAGGAATGGAATAAATCCTAGTGGGAATAATTCGGGTATGGCTGAACTGCTCAAAACTGAGCGGTTAGGATTGAATAAGTTCTATGGCGGTTATGAAGATCCAAGTTCAGGCAATCTATACAACAGGCCATATGGGATTTAATTTGAATACACCCTTATTCTGCTTGGTTCACAAGGTTGATTGCAAATGCCTTTGACAAACCATAGTTGCGGATATCAAAGCGAAGACTTCAATATATATTCAATATCAGGTGTTATGATGCGAAGAAGCTTTTGAGAAGTTTTTCCTTTATGGAGGTGAGAGTTGTGGTTTGTCTGATTGGTCTACTCTCAGGTTGGTGGAGGATCGAACCTTTCTCAAAATGGGTAGTCGGAAGCCAACAGGTAAATTGAAGTTGGGGTTCATTTCAGTTTCACCTGATTGATATTGCTGAATACCATTGTTAAAAGAATTACTGAAGTAAAATTAGAGCTGTGAAGAGATCAAAATTGGTTTTATCTACAGCTTGTTAAGAAAGTAAGGTCGAAAATTTTTACTATGAGCTTATCTTGTTCACCGTATATATTATACATTGATTCACAGTGAAGCATTTCTGTCTTTTTAAAGTTTCATTTGACATGTTCCCCTTTCTCTTTTTTCTCTCTCAAGTTTTCTTTTTGGCTTTTTTATTGTATTATTATTTACATTTGTTCTTAATTTTGTACTACTTTTCAGGTAAAAAGATCTTGAGACGTATACTTGATATGAAGGCAAAGCAAATATTGTGGAAGGCAATTCTAATTCTTTGGTTAGTGTCGTAGTTTTGTTTCTGGGGAAGAATCTGATTAATGATTTCAGACAAGTTACTGGTTTTAATATCCGATCCCTATAAACTGATACCCTTATACTACTACTGTGCCCTGCTGGAACATATGATGTTTCGCAATACTGAATAAAGAGAGCTGTAGAGCAAATACATTATTCTTCCATAATTCTACCTTACTGAATGATGAAACTTGTAATACTTGTACAAAATTTTTGGGGTATGGATACAGAAGATGATGATTGAGAGATTATTTCTAATTTCTGCACTTGTTGAGATTGGAAGGTAGGACGTGCATGGACATTTGCAGCTTATTTGTAATTTGCATCTCTATGTGGATACAGGATACCATTTCTTCCATCACGGCCCACAAGTCCACATCATGATTCTTGTTAATCATGCATCGTCTTTGCAAATTAACAGTTTCCGTGTGAATTTCAGAGGTTTAAACTGAAGATTTATTTTCAAATTTTTGTCAAATAATGCAAACGAAACGAGGAACCTTTTTGAGTTTTGCAGCTTCAAGTTTGTAACCATCATTGTAGTCTATGTTTTGAAACTATTTTTTTTTTATCATCCAACGATCACATTATATTAAAACTCAAAAGAAATACAGTAGGCTTGTCAACTGACAATACAAAGGGCAAGGATATACTAAATCCATGCAGGTAGAGGAGACATCCAAACAAAAGGAAGATTCTCCCACAAGCGCAAAATCAGCTAATCTACAACTAACTACACTACTCGAAGAAACCAGAAAAGTACAAACATCAAACAAAAGCAAGAGCAAATAGGTATCTTCAGCTATTACAGATTGGCTTCTCGGGAAGCAAACCTTCTGACTGAGTTTCTGTGCAATAGCTTGGTTATCTAACCGAATAATGATCTTCTTTCATCTTCCTCACTTCTTCCTACCAATCCCTAAATTGATCCACCCGTTTTTCAAGCATTTTCCATTGAACGGGTGCTAGTTTCCATACCATTTTAGCCTTTTCACAGTTGAATAGAAGATGTTCAAGGCTCTCGTCCGCATCCCCACAACAATGACAGATTTTGTCAACCTGCATTCCTTTTGTATGTACTTTTTCCCCTGTTGCAATAGCTCCATGGCAGCACCTCCAAATGAAATGGCACAATTTTTTTTTTTTTTTTTTAGCTNTTTTTTTTTTTTTTTTAGCTTCCAAATCCTTCTCCAGAAAAGTTGTTGATCTTGTCTGCATGATTGAGGAATATCACTCTCCAAACATTGCTTTGATAATGCCACCTGGTAAGCTGATTTGACAGTAAATAAGCTGTTAGGAGTGTGATGCCAAATCATTCTATCTTTGCTTCCATACATGCTCAAAGGGATTTTTAAAATCAACTTAGCCTCCTCTCTATTAAACACCTCTCTAACTAAATTTTTATTCCAATTCATGCCCTCATTGTCTAACAGATCACTCACCTTCTTAATAATATCACAATTCCCCCCAGTCATAGTAGCTCGAAATCTACCATCCCTAGGAATCCAAGGGGCAGTCCATACATCCACACTCTTCCCATCCCCAATTTGCCACCTAATCCCTAAGGTAAGTGTATCCCTTGCTCCTAGCCAACATCGCCATAACCAAGAGTCAGTATTTTTGGCTTTAACATCAAACAGACTTTGCTTCGGGAAATACCCGTCTTTTAAAACTTTACTCACCAACAAATTTGGACAAGTAATCACCCTCCATAACTGTTTACCAAGAAGAGCATTAATAAAAAGAGAAAAATCTTTAAAACCTAATCCCCCAGTCCTTATGAAATGACAATTTTTTCCAAGATAGCCAATGAATCTTACTAATTTGGAAGGGCATTAATCACTGCCTTCATAAGGACTTCTTTCCCCGCAAAACTTCAAAATTTATTTTTCCAGTTCATAATTTTTTTACGGACCGACTCAAAAACATAATTGAATATATCTCTCTTTGTTTTTCCAACACCAAGAGGAGGCCTAAGTACTTCGAGCTCAAAGATTCAGACACTCCAATGAAAATTGAGCAAATTATCGCCTTGGCAGAAATTGAGGTATTTTTGCTAAAAAAAATAGAAGATTTATCAATATTAATAAGTTGACCCGAGGCAGAACAAAAGGAGGAAAAAATATGATTCAACTTATAAGCATTATTAAGATCCGCTTTACAAAATATAAGTATATCATCCGCAAAAAAGAGGTGGGAAATAACCGGACCCTGTCTACTAATTTTTAACCCAAGCAGAGATTTATCAAGGATGGCTTTATGTAACAGGTTAGAAAGAGCCTCCAAGAGGAAAAGAAGGAGGTAAGGAGATAAAGGATCTCCCTGTCGAAGTCCTCTAGAAGGATGAACATACCCAGGCAGGTTGCTCATTCAAAGCAAAAGAGAAAGAAGAAGAAGAAATACAAGCCTTAATCCAAGAAACAAAAATATCAGGAAAACCAAATTTTCTAAGGATGGCCAGCAAAAAAGACCACTCAACCCGGTCATAGGCTTTAGCCATGTCCAATTTGAGTGCCAAAAAGTTATTCTTACCCCTCCTAAGATTTTTCAGAAAGTGAAGCATTCATTAGCAATCACTGCATATTGTCCAAAATTTGTCGCCCAGCAATAAAGGCAGACTGTTTTTTGCTAATACAACAAGGAATGACAAGTTTCAACTCTTGGAAATGATTTTATAAAGCACATTGCACAGACTAATAGGCCTGAAATGCCCAACACTCATTGAATTTTGAACTTTAGGGATAAGAGCAATAAGAGTATGATTAATAGCTCTTAGGATCCCAGGATTACTAAAGAAAAAAGACACAGCTTTAACCAAATCAGTCTTATTAATAATAGACTAATAAAATTGAGGCTCCGTTTGTTTTGAAAGATTTACTGAGGGATTTGAAATCCGTAGAGTTCCAATTTACAAATTCAAATGTTCATGCATGTTGGGATGATAATGGAAGTTGGAAAATTTCAAATTCATGTTAGATGTTTTTTAGTCATTATTTTGGAGGATTTGAAATGACTCATCAAACCTAGTCATTTGAAATCTATTCTTGACGACCACGCCATCCGCGATCATTTAGGTTCATCACCACCGCGAGTCAACACCATCGGCGTGAGCTAGACAATTTATTTATAATATTTTCAACATATCCTTTTAAGGAGTATACAAGTAAAAAGATTTACATTCCAAAAATTTTGAAATCAAAGGATTTCAAATCCCTCCAAACAAACGGAACCTGAAAGAACAGAGGGGTCATGCCATCCATACCTGGGGCTTTATGAGGATGAAATTCCCATAAAGCATTCTTAATCTCTTCTTCACTCACTGCCCTTATCAGCTTTGAGTTCCAGCCCACCCTAGGTATCCCTTTACAATAAATTGTAATTAACTTGCGGATCCTGGGATTTGAACAACCTTGCATAAAACCCTTCAAGCTGTCGGGTAATCTCCTTCTATGTTTCACAGACTACTCCACCAACCTCTCTATACTGTTCATTTTTCGTCTCTGAACGGTACAAGCATGGAAGAACGTCGAATTTTTTTTCTCCCTCCATCAACCACTCCACCCTAGCCTTCTGTTTCCAGTAAATCTCCTCACTCTGGTATGCGTCATTCAGTTCTGCCTTCAATTTATGCCACTGTCTCCAATCTCTTGTTTCTCCCACCCTTCCCATCTGCTCCAATTTCTCCTTAATCTGGCTAATTTTCTTCCTCGAATTTACATTCTGACCTCTGTTCCACTGCAGCAAGGCCATTCGACAATTTTTAATTTTTTCTTGAATCTGACACAAAGGATGTCCCACCATTGGTTCATGCCAAGCTTTATCTACTGGTTTTAATATCCGATCCCTATAAACTGATACCCTTATACTACTACTGTGCCCTGTTGGAACATATGATGTTTCACAATACTGAATAAAGAGAGCTGTAGAGCAAATACATTATTCTTCCATAATTCTACCTTACTGAATGATGAAACTTGTAATACTTGTACAAAATTTTTGGGGTATGGATACAGAAGATGATGATTGAGAGATTATTTCTAATTTCTGCACTTGTTGAGATTGGAAGGTAGGACGTGCATGGACGTGGAAATTGTTCCAGATAACCCATTCCACACTACAACTTGTTAAAATGACGTTTGACTCGAATTTTACAATAAAATTTAATAACAAATCATATTAAATAGCCATTTACCAATATACCCATAACACAAAATTTTAACTAACACAATTTCTTCTTTATTCAACACAAAATTCAATTTTTTCTTCCTTCTTCTTGCTCCCCCCATCCCCCCAACTCTCTCTCTCTCTCTCCACGCTCACACCCTTTCGCCGTGGCCCGGCCCCTCGCAGTCACGCCATCTTGTTCGACATTTTTTTTTTACTGAATTTAGTGTGGGTTTTGTACATTTTGGTGTATCTAAAATAACAATTGTTCCTGTGTTTTTTAATTTCAGCCTTATTCATGTGATCCCTTTTGTGATTCTTATGTGATGCCTAGGGTAATTTTAGTTGCTTGATTTTTGTGATTCTTAACTTTGTGTTCTTGGTAATTTTAGTTGCTTGATTTTTTGTGATTCTTAATCGATCGGGAAAAACAATAACCATAACGAAAGTACATTCGTTATGATGTATGAAATAACGAAGGTACATTCGTTATTTTGAAAATCACAACGAATGTACTCTCGTTATGGTTAGTTTGATGGAATGACGTGTTAACAATTCTATCTTCGTTATATATGACATTAGGACGATAGCTTAAACTCGTTATAGAGTCGAATTACTTATAACGAAATTCATTTTGTGAAATAACGATACTTGTTTTGTTATTGGAAATGGATAGATAATGAAGAATCGTTATAATAGTTTATTTTACATAAAAAATTACTAAAATTATACCTATAACGAGAGTAATATCTTTATAATGTATTATATAACGAAGGTGCAATCGTTATTGTTGTATTTAATGAAAATATAACCATAACAAATGTACATTCGTTATGATATATGAAAATAATGAATGTACATTCGTTATGTTGAAAATCAGCAAATCATAACGAATGTACTCTTGTTATGGTTATTTTGATGGAATGACGTGTTAAGGATTCTATCTTCGTTATATATCACATTAGGACGATAGTTTAAACTCATTATAGTGTCGAAATACTTATAATGAAACTTTTTTCGTGAAATAACGATACTTGTTTCCATAATGAATGTATATTTGTTATGCTGTATGAAATAACGAAGGAACATTCGTTATGGTGAAAATCGTAACAAATGTACTCTCGTTATGGTTATTTTCGTGGAATGATGTGTTAACTATTGTATCTTCGTTATATATTATATAGAACGATAGTTTAAACTCGTTATAGTGTCGAAATACTTATAACGAAACTCATTTTTTGAAATAACGATACTTGTTTCTTTTTGGAAATGAATAGATAATGAAGAATCGTTATACTAGTATATTTTACATTAAAAATGACTAAAATTATACCTATAACGAAACTCGTGTTATGAAATAACGATACTTGGTTTGTTTTAGAAATAGATAGATAATGAAAGATCGTTACACTAGTTTATCCTACACTGAAAATGATAAAATTATGACTCGAACGAGAGTAATATCTTTACAATGTATTATATAGCAAAGGTAGAATCTTTATAGTTGTGATGTATTATAAATAAGCATTTACTAATATACCCTTAACACAAAATATACCTTAACACATTTTTTCTTCTTCCTTCACCACCCAAATTCCCGCAGAACAGCTCTCTCGGCCTCCTTTCTCTCTTTCGACCTGCTCTCTCGGAAATCTGCTTCTGCCCGATCTCTATGGAGCTCTCTCTCGCCGTCCATTTCGGTAAGGATTTTTTTTTCGTGTACAGATTTGTTTTTTTTTGTTTTTGTCAAGTTGTCCTTTTATTTAACTTCCATGTGTTTGGACCTTTGATATTTGTGGAGCAAGATTTTGATTGTGTTATATTTTGATCGGTGTAGTGTGACCGGTGTATTGTTTTTGATACGTTCTCCAATTCATTAAAGTGAGTTGCTAAAACTCGAAGTTATATATTGGTAAACTAAAGATATTGTACATTTATATTGCAGGTTTGACTGTGAGATGTTTACTATCAAGTTCATCGAGTTTTTGCATGCTAGGATGAATGTTGAAGGCACAGATCAAAAAATGATTCCCTCTTGGCGTATCAAACTAGCAGCTGAAATATTTGCTTCACATTTTGGTCCTTAGCTTGTTTTAGGAATTGAATATTCAGTGGCTTGTAGGGGTGTTTTGAATATCACATTATGACTGTTATATTATTATTTTTTATATGTTTTTCAATGCAATGAAGCGAGTTGTTAAAGTTTGAAGTTGTGTTTTGACTCGTGTATTGTTTTTTCATGTATTTCCCCATGCAGTGATTATTCAAATAATACAGGTATTTAATTCACCTAATATATTTCTTGAACAGTTGTTATAGAAATTTTGGAAGGACTGTAGTCTCGTTATAATGTATCATATAACAAAGGTAGAGTTTATAACTATAACGTATGTACTATCGTTCTATTGTATTATATATTGAAGGTAGAATCGTTATAAGTCTTTTATTTACATGGCTAAAAAAATTACTTTAACGAGCTCTCGGAATTAAGCCGAGGAACCTCGTACTGTTGTTTTTAATTTTATTTTTTTAAAAATAATAATAAAAAAAAAAATCAAACAATCCCACGACAGCCTTGGTGTCCTGCCCGCGACAAGGCGTCGCGAGATACCGCAACTGGGTAATTGGTGTCGTGCCCGTGATGCACGTCGCTCCCGCGACGAGTGAGAGCATCGCGCCTGCAACGTCCTGTAAGCATTCTGTGAGTGCGAATGTCGCGCCCGTGATAAGCGCCGGGCCCGCGACAAATCGACAGTATAAAATGGAAAAAATCGGGCTTTTTTCTCACACGAGAGTACGTTTGTTATGAAAAATAACCATAACAAATGTATAACGAATGTGCATTCGTTAAGGTTATTTTTCGATCAAATACAACAATAACGATTGTACCTTCTATAGATAATACATTATAAAGGTATCACTCTCGTTATAGGTAATATTTTAATTATTTTTTTATGTAAAATAACAAATGTATAACGATTCTTCATTATCTATCCATGTCCAAAAAGAAAAAAAGTATGGTTATTTTGAAAAAAGAGTTTCGTTATGAGTGTTTCGACACTATAACGGGTTTAAACTATCGTTCCAATATGCTATATGAAGAATATAAAATCTTTATCACGGCATTCCATCAAAATGAAGAATGAAGAATCTGCTATATGAAGAATATAAAATCTTTATGAAGAATGACGTGATAACGATTGTATATTCATCATATATCACATTGGAACGATAGTTTAAACCCGTTATAGTGTCGAAACACTCATAACGAAACTCTTTTTTTGAAATAATCAAACTTGTTTTCTTTTTGGACATGGATTGATAATGAAGAATCATTATACATTCGTTATTTTACCTTAAAAATGACTAAAATTAGACCTATAACAAGAGTAATATGTTTATAATGTATTATATAACGAAGGTCGAATCGTTATAGTTGTATTTGATCGAAAAAGAACCATAACGAATGTACATTCGTTATTTCATATATCATAATGAATGTACATTCATTATGGTTATGGTTATTTAAAAAAAAAAATCATTATGGTAAAAATCGTAACGGAAAAAAAACAAGTATAGTTATTTAACAAAAAATCATTCGTTGTGAGGATTTCAACAAAAATGGTTATTTAAAACTCGTTATATAATCCATTATAAAGATATTACACTCGTTATAGATACAATTTTACTCATCTTTCATGTAAAATAGGGAATGTACAAAGATTTTACATCATATATCCATTATTCAAGAACAAAAAAAAAAACAAGTATAGTTATTTAACAAAAAGAGTTTCGTTATGAGTATTTCAACGCTCTAACGGGTCCAAACTATCATTCAAAGGTGATATATGACCAAGATACAATGTTAAACATGTCATTCCATAAAAAAACCAAAACGGGAGTGTTGTAGCAAATTATTTTATTTTTTTACCGAGTACCAAATCAAAAGATTCGTTCCCCGGGTCGATCTCTCGAGGAAGACGGTTCGGAATTTAGCGTTGGTCTTGATCACACACGAAAATAAAATAAGTCCTAAAAACTCTAATCACGATTGATTTGGGGAATCAACTAAAACAAGCTAGAACTAAAAAAATAATTTAAAGAAATAACAATTAAATTTCTAGAGAAAAAGAAGAAGTTCTAGTCTTAAACTATGTTGAACGCTTATTTGTTCGGTTACGAGATTTAACAAGCCTACACGTCTAGAGGGTTATGCTCAATAACTCTTTGTAACAAGAGCACAAACATAAACGATAAACTCATTCAAACAAGCAACACATAGACAATACTTTTACGAACATGTCTACTCTATACGAGCCTAAATCGACCGACGTCTCCCCTCTCGGTTCTAAACATCGATCAACAAGGTTAGAATGGTGATCAATCAACTAACCATATAATTCACACAACTCGTATAGATTGAACAAAACACATTCCTCATAATTTGAAACAAGAATCAAAATCCCTAACCCTAGGTGAATGGATTACCTCATGCTTAGATTCAATTTCATGTTAACATGTCTGAAAAAAAAAAAACAAGTATCGTTATTTAATAAGATGAGTTCTGTTAGGAGTGTTTCGACTCT